AAAGTTACAAGACACATGACAGCCTCTCATTGCTTTAACTTTGAGAAATCTTGCTATACTATATAAGATAATAATACACTAGTATTGTGTAATTTGTAATGGAGCAAAAAAATAGTATTGTAATTTGTAACTGTTATATTACTCTTTAACTTATAATATGTGGTCCAATAAGGTGATGACATCGCATTAGCATCGTTAATATCGAACCAATCAATGTTCAGACACACCGATAAATCAAACACCACCACATTGACAAGAGAGAGGAAAAATTTATTTTCTTTGTCCCCCTCAAGAACATAAATAATATTAGTCATTAAAAACTGTAACGCCTCTCTTGCTTGAGCAACGAGAATTATCATTACAATGACGACTAACCTCCCATTTCAGATTATCTTGAAACTTATACTCTCTAGCTTTGCATCTCTCGTTGTTATCACTCTCTTCTTCATCTCAAGAACCGATTTCCCACCGTCTTCGTTTCAGCTGTCGCCGGAAAACACTCTCCGGATCTCCAACGGAACTAAATCACCGAACCAAGAAACCGTGAATTGCGGTAAGATCCCTCCTGCGCTCGCCGACGCTCTCATTCATTACGCCGCCTCCAATGTCACTCCCCAGCAAACACTCTCTGAAATCTCCGTCACCAAGAAGGTAACAAACACTAACAACACACAATTATAAGTTTGTTAATTGACCTAAATCAAAAACTCAATTGGTGGATTAAACTATCGAAAAAGATCACTATAATAAGGTGTTGTTGACGTGACCAAAAAAAAAAAAAAGGTGCCGTTGGTTTGCGTGTATGGAGGAGATATACAACATCTAAACGGAGTAACTAGACGCAATATCTAGATGATGTTCGTTTGGTATTTTTGTTCCTATATATGGATGTATTTAACATAAAATGACCAAAAACTCTTTATTTTGTGTTAAGAGGTTACTACTATTATTAATGATTTAGATTATAATTATACCTAAATAATTACCAAATTAATTTTGAATGAAATT